AGCGGGCCCTGGGTTGTCTCACTCACTCTCCGGGCCTGCGCTCTGGGTCTGTTCAGGATCCCCCGGCCTGGGTCGTCTCCGAAACTCAGATTAATGCTCAGAGTTAGTAAAACTTTCAATAGTTATTTAATTAAAACTGGTATGTCCCTCAAATAAATTGTTATCAAATTCTAGATTTTCTACACTGTTACAGCACTACAAAGCAAAGAGATTTACATTGATATTTGGTTTGGGTCCATTTAAATATTTCTTAGTCTAATCTAATACAGGTCCATGTGACACTTAAATATATATTTCATATATTTCTGAAATATTGATATATCTTAAACAGAAAAAATATTGGTATAAGAAAAGGAGTAAAGATAATTGGAATAGGCCAGGTGCGCTGGGCATGGTGGCACATACCCATAAGCCCAGCATTCAGGAGGCTGCGGTAGGAGGATCATTGTGAGTTTGAGGCCAGCCTGGGCTATCTACTGAGTTCAAGGCCAGTCTCAACTACAGAGGAAGACCCTGTCTTAAAAAAGAAAAAGAAAAAAGAAACAGCGTGGATGACAAGAGACATTCAGACACACAGCATTTTCCTCCACCGCAAAGCCACATTCAGGGCAAAAGCTCTGCAGTGCTTCTTGCAATCAACATATTTTCTACCAAAGGACAAGAAAAAGTTGAGTCTCCTTAACAGAAGAATGGAGTGAAGGTGGGCTTTATACATTGCTTTCAGCCGACACTGCTCAGGTTGTGTCCTTGTGGCTCGTGCACAGTCTCCCTTTATTGACTTACAAGCTGGCAAAAAGAGGATTATCCGTGGAATGTCTACTTCCCCCAGGCTGGGGGCTGAACACAGGGCCTGATGCATGCTAGGCCCGCGCTCTACCATTGAACTATGCTGAATCTAAAGCACCATTTCTGGAAACATCCACACCAGAAGACTTTATTTTATTTTTTTCCAGAACCAGGGATTGAACTCAGGCCCTTGCGCTTGCCCGGGAAGCACTTATTCTACTGAGCCATCTTCCTGGCCCCGAGATTTCCTTCTTGATGACCAAAGCATGCCTGTCAATGAGATGCTGGCGGCTGTTACAGCTTTTCACATTCCTGTCTCAGAAATCACTTAAGTGTTGCTATCATGAGGTGTGTCTAATCAGTGCATCAAACATAATATCCAGAGATTCACAGTGATATTAAGTGGATCACTTTAGCTACCTCACTGTAGCAGTTACAACAGGGTAATACAGAACACAATATTACAATGTAGCACTACACCTCCTTATGGCGTAATAGAGAACAAGATAAGTAGGTATTTTCTTATGTCCAATGCCTTTTAAATTTAATCCTATATTCATATGAATTAACTGGAATATATATATATATATATATTTCCCCCCCCCCCCAGGGCCAGGCTAAGTTCAGTTACATCAGTTAGCATGCTGGAGGCCCTGGGGTCAGCCACCAGCAATCAACCCATCAGCAGATTCTCATGCTGTAGACCTGGAGTGGGCCGGTGATTCTGCATTTCTAGTAAGCTCCCAGCAATCTCTGCGGTCCACACTTTGAGCAGCAAGGTCTTGATCCCTTTCCTACCTTACCCTCTCCTGTCTTGTTCTGCACTACCACTCTCTGGAGATAACAAGATGCACAAGATTGCCACAGGCTGAACCCTGGAGTCTTGTGCAACACAATTAGGTCAGATTGCTTTTTCTTTATTCTTTGAGACTAGCACAAAGTTCCATTTAAAATAAGGCATCTAGGGCTAGGGAGATAGTCAGTGGACTAAGTGCTTGCCTGGCAAGCGCAAGGTCCTGAGTTCGATCCCTGATACCACTAAAAATAAATTTAAAAAACTAAAATAAAAAGGCATCTATAAAGGAGTAAGATGTATTAACTTTGATTTTTTCCCCTTTGCATGCAGTTTAGATAATAGATAAAATAAACAAGGATACATAAAGGCTTAATATAGCATAATAAAATGATATAGGTTCTAAAGTAATTTCCATTTTGGAAGAGGAAAGTTTGTTTAAAATTATCCATATTTAAAAGAGGTCACAAGTTATCAATGGGAAGTTTTTAGTACTTTAAAGCTCAAGATACAGACTATGCAGTTTCAAGGAGAGAAATGATGGCAGCTGCACTGAGATTCAATAATGTTTGAGTCTGCCAGAAACAACCAGGTAGTAGGCTGATTGATCGACTTGAGCCTGCTGTGCCGGCCCCAACCCCGGGGGGCGCAGGCCTGTAATCCCAGCACTTGGGAGGCTGGGAACAGGAGGATCACTAAGAGAGTGTCCGATCTATGCAGCGAGACCCTGAATGCCCTGTAGACCTTGTCCTAAATAAATAAAAAGAAAGAAAGAAAGAAAATCTAGTTCACGGCAAAGTGTTTAGTTTTATAAGGATAAAGTAAAAACACTTATTATAAATGTTATTTTCAGAAAGAAGTTTTAACCCTAAAACTGCTGCAGCCACCTCAAGTGAACTCGATTTCTCCTACAGCACGAGGGAAAGCAACAGAGATGTGAGTTTCATTCACAGTCAACTTTAATACGAATCGGAACCACTGTGTCATAAAAGCAGGTTTACGTATGCTGTGAACAAGATCTACTTTAACAGAAAATGAAGGGGTTTGATTTATTCGAATGAAAACTTCCCCAACTTCCTGTAAACCACAGAAGCTTCTGCAAGCCCTGACATTTAGTTCCACGATCGTGTTTTTTCTTTTCTCAGCAATCCTAGACTACCGTGGTAGACATCCTGCTGGCATCCACGCTGACCAGATGGGAGTCTGTCTCGCTGCCTCAGCGCTCTCTGTCTAGGCACCAACTCAAAAGGTCTAGAGAGATTTTTAAAAAGTTATCATCCTAGCACAAGCACCCAGAAGCCAACTTGAGCAAGCTCCCAGTGGCCCAAGATGAAAAATCTGAACATCTGAGAGAACAAGGACTACAAAAGACAGAGAACATTAAATATATAAAGTTCATGGTTCTTTTTCTTTTCCTTTTTTTTTTTCCCCCAGAACTGGGGATTGAACTCAGACCCTTGTGCTTGCCAGGGAAGCACTTATTCTACTGAGCTATCTCCCCAGCCCCTAAAGTTCATCTTTATTATTATTATTATTATTATTATTTTTTTTTTTTTTGCGGAATCGGGGCTTGAACTCAGGCCCTTGAGCTTGCCAGGGAAGCACTTACTCCACTGAGCCATCTCCCCAGCCCCCAGTTCATCTTTATAATGATATCCCCACACCCTTCTGAATCCATCATTGGTCATTGTTGGAGATTGCTGGGAGTCCTATTCATTACTTGGAATAGGGATCTATAAAGGGAGTCATCACACATTCACCTTGCTGTATTTCACACTAGCCAGTGTACCTGAGTGTAACTTATTTTCCAAACCATCCTAATTATAATGCAGAAGGATTGATAGAATTGCAAAATTCTCATCTCTTAACCTTAATACAACACTGGATATAGGCAATAACCAAAGCTGGATGCTAACACCATCAGGTAAAAAGGTTGACAAAGAAATTGATAATGGTAGAGATAAAACTAATAACTCCTGAGCCTGTGAATCAATATCAATACTATCCAAAGTAGGACACCAGACATTATATGCCTTGAGATACTGACATAATATGAAATGCACAGGACCACGTATGAAATATTCTGGTCTAAAAAAATCAAACTGAATATGATGATCAAGGCATTAGACACAAATACCAATTTATAGGAAACACAGGTGAAAGGTTAAGTTAATCTATACATAGTAAACAACCAGCCAGATTTCTGCAATACAATTGTCTTAGTTACTTTTCTCTTATTGCTGGGACCAAATACACTACACCCAAAGTTAAGGGAGGAAAGGTTTAGTTAGCTCACAGTGGGCTTCAGTTCGGAATCAGCTGGCTCCAAGGCAGGGTGGTGGGTACCGCAGAGGACAGCAGTTCATGGAGGCGGAAGGCAGCAAAAGTAACAAGAGCAAAAGCCGGAGCAAGCCTCCTTCCTCCCTTACACTGTGGGCTGTCACTTGCCCAGGGTGGGGCAGCAACCTCACCACCTCCTGCCCTCCTCCTGCGCAGGCTCAGGATGTTGACAAAGTGAGGACCCTGGCCCCTGCTAGGCTACCCAGTTAAGCTCCTAAACTTCCCCAACTCACGCAATCAAGAAACCATGACAACACCCTGGAGTGTAAACAGCCACCCCAGGACCTGTCCTCTACCCCTTAGAAGATGTAGAACTGCTGAGTTACTTAGGCTTGTAGGCTTCTCCAGTTGACACAGTATATCAACTATCACAACAATAATATTCTACGTGGGGTTTTTGGACCAGCAGGTTCAGTTTCATCCAGGAAAATGTTAGAAACGCACAATCCCTTTCCCTCCTGCAGCTGTAGGGGCCGAGGTCTGGGGCAGGACCTGCTTGCAGTCTTGCCAAGTCCTCCAGCAGGCCCTGAGACGTGCCCAAGTTTGAGAACCTTGACTGCACCAGGAATGGCAGGGGAAATGAAACTTTTTAAAAAGGTAGAGGAAAGGGGGCTGTTACAGAATGAAAGACTTAAGAGATACAATAAAACAACCGTATGGTAGATCACAATACAATACTGATATCCTGAAATGATTTTAACCTAACTAAAAATTTTAACCTAATTAAAAAATAACCACAAGAACCATTTGTATTGTCACAAAAGACAACAAATTTACACAAACTTTTAACCCATAAGAACTCAGTAACTTGATTGAAAATGGAAAGGGGCCACGAATAATGAATTTCTTTTTCTCATAACTGCAACTGCCTTTTGTTTTGATTTTCTGCTACTTTCTTTGCTTTCATCTTTAGCTCTTCAAATAGAGCCCCAAGGCATTTAGGAGAAGAGACAGCAGCATGGACATTAGTGAATACATTAGAAAATGTTACTTGGGGCCAGGGAGATAGCTCAGCAGAATAAGAGCTTGCCTGGCTACTGCAAGGTCCTGAGTTCAATCCCTGGTTTCGCCAAAAACAAAAAATTAAATAAAGAAAATATTACTTACATTATGTTTATGACAGAAATTCAGAGCTTGAAGGGTTTGCCACAACACACTTTTGATCGTCCCATCAGCCACTCTGCGGGAAGAAACACAAAGGAATGAAAAGTTCTGGGATGGAATTCCTGGGCGAGAATCGGCCTAGGCGGGCCTGTCCTGCTCAGGAAGGCTCGTCTAGAGGGAGGACGTGGAGGGAGGGAGCCTCGGAACTCTGTCTTTCAAGAAACACTTCAAAAAAGAAAAAAGAAACACTTCAAGGAGAAGTGTTTCAGTTCCTTTTATTATAGCTACGTCATTTTCTTCTGTAGCCTGAAAAGTTTACATCTATGGAGAAACCTGTGCAGCATAAGAAAGTGCTGTGCTAATGTTGTCACCTTAATGTAACTGCCGCAGCTTAGGTCGCCGCCTGCTGATGTCCCTGCTTTTCTCTCTGCCACCCTCTCTCTCTGCGTTCACTTTTAACTCTTAACTTTACATAAACACAACACAAAAGGGAAAGAAACTGCTCAAAGGGAAAGAACAACTGGGATGAGGGAAAGGAGAAAAGGAAGACAGAAGGGAAAATATGTGTGTATATACCAAGAATAGCTTGGATAATGGTACTGATTTCTACTGGTCTCCCGAAAGGAAGTTAATGCTTATTTTTTGTCCTCTTTAGTTTTTAATCAATTTTGCATGCTTATATCTGGTAATCTAAACAAAAATTTTGAAGAGAACAATATACAATATGACAACCGTTGCTGAATTCCTATCACCTTGTTTAGTGAAATTCTGTATCTTTTCTAATTTTTTTTTACTGTTTTTTATTTTTTTAAAAAATAAATACGGGGCTGGTGAGATGGCTCAGTGGTCTAAAGCACCTATTTAGAACAAGCTTAGCAAAGCACAGGGACCACGGTTCAATCCCCAGCACCACATGCCAGCCAGCCCCGCCCCCTGGTGGGCTGAGCTGGCCACACACAGTCACACACAAATAAATAAATAAAAATAAAAAAAAAAAAGATGAGCATAATCATTCTGGACTGCAAACATGCTAATAAAAATTATAAAAAAAAATAAAAACTAAATACATTCATATAATTCAAAAATTTAATAAAACTATCAAGTTATGTCGGTGAGGATGTCTCCCCTCACACCTACCTGCCTAGCCACCCATTTACGTCTACAGTTTCACTCTACTCTGTTCCCCTCCCCTTTCCTTTTGCAATGCTGGTGACCAAACCCAGGGCCTTGGGCTTTCTGGACACATACTTCAGTGGCTTTGGAAGATCTCAGAGGTGGCAGGCACAGTTTCCTTAGTCCTCATGTTGAGCAGTTTGGTTGAGCTGGGTTTTATTTCTCGAAACACATCAATGAGTCCCTGTAATCATTCACTTTAAGATAAATTTTAGAAGTGGGATTTCTGGGACCAATGGTAGGTGTGTATTACATTTTGATCTTGCAGAGATGAACTTCAGATAAATCTGAGACACAGTTTTGAAGAGAAAAAGGTAAAGGGAGAAGAGAGAGGAAGTTCGAGAGTCCATCTGGTGGGAAACACTTAAGCGTGTGCTGGAATTACTGTGTAATAGTTCAAGTATCTGATCAACAGGTAGGGTTGCAGCCAAAAAAGAGGTCAAGGAGAACAAAGGCTGCGTAGGAATGGGAGGCTGTGAGCTTCTTTTCCCTAACATAATTATTACTATGTGTAGAAAATACTGGAACATACCATTGGCCAATATGCTTCCCCCTGGGGAACTGCTCTTTGCAACTTACTTCTGAGAATATTCTCCCTTATGTAATGACTTCCTACAAGCTACTGCGGTGTCATTCCCTTTACTACGATTCATTGGTGCCTTCTGTGACCGGTAGCCCTGTCCTTTGCTGATGGCTTCACCTTTAGGGACTGCCAAGCTGCCGAGTCTTAGGAAGGTTAGGCCATTTACACATCCACCAAACGTCTGCGCAGACAGTACTCTGCCTTCTCATTCTCTTGCCAGCACTTGTTTGGCCAAGGTTATGTTTGCCAAACTGTGGCTAAACTAGGAATACAGTTCATTTTGCATTTCAATGGCATTTTGTTAATTTTCTGTGTTTATTAATTCATATGGTTATAGGATATTGCATTCCTTATTTTCTGTATTTCCATTTCAGGGTCTTTGTTGCTCTTTGAGTGGATGGTTTACTCTCTTCTGAGTCATTTAGAAAGGCTCAGTATATACTAGTCTGTGACTTCTGCTCTAAATATTTTTCTCAGGCTTTCCGCCTTTCTGATGCAGGTGACATTATATGCGTATTTCCAAAAACCTGAAGCAAATGAGTTTCTTTTGTAAGTTTTTAAAATTAAAAATTGACCAGTATTTACTATTCCAAATATATCTGTTTCTCAGACACTTTTTGTCATATCTGGCTACTTAAAGAATGTATGTAGATCACTTTTAAAAAACTGAATTTATGTAGGTATGACTAGTTTCACTGAATCAGAGGGTGGGCAGTGCCTGCCTCAGTTATGGCACTAGTGGTAAAATGCCACCATGGAAGTCTGGAAAATTGAGAGAAATCTCTTAGCGCGCTTTCCTCATCTTGAGTCACACTCCAGGTGGCGTAAGGTTGACATCAGCTGTCTGGTGGCAGCCCGCTGACTCCAGTTGTTCTGCTTAGTAATATTGTGCAATTACCCATAATCCTCAGTGCTTTCTACCTGAAATGTTTGTTTCTTGCCCCAAATTTGATATAAATTTACCCCATCCCCTCTTTCACCTAGAGCCAAACCTGAGGCAACAATGATAAGTATTTTATGAGGCAGAAGAGTATCACCATTTTCAGGACTGTCCCAAGCACTGCCACAATCCAAATCCTAGTTATGCTGTTCTTTCTTGATGTATAACCCCTGGCAAATTATCTAAATTATAGTTTTCTTCCTGTGTAAAAATAAAGCAATATTCCCAAAGTTTATGGGGAAATCTATCTCCTAAACCTCTGGGCTTTGACATGTGCGTGGACTGAGGAGGTCATGGTCTGGTATCAGATGAGGCCAGAAGCTGGACACAAGTGGTACAAAGGACAGAGGTATCCCTGAGGGGAGAAAGAACTGGAAGGGCCAGGAAACTGGGAAACCAGCAATGTGGAGCCGGAGGGAAAAGACACTAAGGTCCTGCAAGGCCTGCGGGGGCTGAGAGATCCAGATCTCGGTAAAGAATCTGTACTCCCAACTAAAGGCAGTGGGGAGGAATCGAGCCAGGAAGTGATAAAAGCTGGAGAACGGATTTCTGGTGCAAAGTGGAGCAGACAAATGGGGCTAACTCAGCCATCCGAGGGACATTCGCTGGCGTAGGCTGGAGAGGAAGGGAAACGGAGTTTTGTCCTCTGGCAGGCCTTGGCCCTACCATGTAGGAAGGGAACACTAGGCAAGATCTCAAAGGCTCCAGGGAGCTGGGCAAGAAGGCAGGGTGGAGGGCTCAGGAGCTGTCCCAGCTGGGATTACCAGCACAAACAACATGGAATGAAGCACAAATTATTTTGCTCAGCAAGTCCTGAGCTGTTGTTGAGGAAGGGGGTGTTTAAAGGCATCTCTCCAGGTCACAGCTCAGCTCCTCAGCCCAGACTCCGAGCAGGCACAGTCTCTCACTGGCCAGCCATCTCGACACAGTGACAGTTGGGAGCAGATGCCGCCGCAGCATTCACTAGTCAGACCTGGCAGCATTTTTCAAGGCATTGCGGAATGAAATAAAATTTCTGGTAGAAATCAATATCCAGTGTTTAAATATTGTCCTTTGGGTGAGTGTAAAAACACATAGGAAAAGCAATAGTGAAGACCTGAAAGGAAAAATGAGACACAGCCGTTGGAGGCCAAGGGAGTAGACAGACATCATGGGGAGGAAATTTAGGGTGCTCGGCTCAGCCGCCCTGTGGGCAGCCCTGCAAAGAGCCAGTGCTGACTCTGGAGCTGCTAGCTTTGTTTAAGCTGTCATAAACTTCTGATGGAAAGCTTGATTCCACTTTTACTGTCTGAAGTGAACTGAGTTGTCCTCAGCAATCCCTTAATATCTTAGAATAAAATCCAATCTCAGGGGCTGGGGAGATAGCTCAGTAGAATAAATGCTTGCCTGACAAGTGCAGGGTCCTCAGTTCAATCCCCAGTACAAAAAAAAAAAAAAAAAAAAAAAGTCCAATCTCAGATCAGAATTTTAATGATTTCATTTATTCATCTCCTAATGTCAGCTCCTTCCACACCCCACAAGCATCCCATCCTATTCCCATCAGTTCCTGCTACTCCAGAACACGTCGGCCTTGCTTGTGTCTCCAATGGAGGGGAATCATGAATTAAATCACCATTTGTACTGTGCTTTCTCATTTTTATTTATTTAGGTTATGTGAGGCGGGATCTCCCTACATAACTCAGGCCGGACTTGAACTCGGTAACCCTCCTACGTTGGCCACCCAGGTGCTGGGATTACAGGCGGTGCTGCCAGATTCAATATGTATTTTTTTTTTCAATTTGTATTTTTATTTTAGAAATAGCATGTGCATTCACTAGAATACTGGAAAAATTCACCATATATTTTCATCACATTTGCGGTCTACTGTTACCTGGTGCTCCATGAATATTTCACCAGAAGATCACTCTTTCTAATGGGGCCGATGTGTATCGTACCGTTGTGCAGCTACTGCACTGCCCGTGGCTGAGGCTTTCTTCTCTTGTGGTTCTGGGGACGGAGCCCAGGGCCTCATGGACTGGCCACAGAGCTACTGCCTTAGCCCTAACCAATTCTGTACTATTAAAAAATTAGGCCAGTCCCATTTTTTAAAAATGATGCATGAATGTTTTTATGTACAACATTTTGCCCCTACTTGAATATTGTCCTATTACATCTTTCTCTAAATGAAATCTCTTGGCCAAAACATAAAAAGCTTATTTATTTATTTATTTATTGGCAGAACCAGGGATTGAACTCAGGCCCTTGCGCTTGCCAGGCAAGTGCTTATTCTACTGAGCCATCTCCCTGGTCCCAGTAAAAAGTTTTAGAATATGTTCATACATATTTCGAAATTATCCAACTAATTACATTTTTTTAACTGTGAGAAGACCTGATTCTATGACCTGTTGACAGTAGTGAGCAACCTGATGTTTGAAGAATCTTTGCCACATTTCATAGCTGAGAAATGATACTTCACACATAGTATAAATTTCTTTGGTAGGAAAAATAAACAGGTTTTCATCAGTGTATTATTCTATTCCTTTTAAAAAAGATTTTGTTTTTCATGCCCACCAGAATGTAAGCTCCCGAAAATTAGGCTAAGTTTTGTATGTTTTGTTCAAGTTTAGCACTTAGCCAGGTACACGGTATACATTCACAAAACTTTTTTTGAGTGAATGTTTTCTAATTGGGTGATAGCTTGCAAAAATTTTTATTTTTAAAATCTCCACAGACAGATATAAAATGAATTAATTCCGGCAAATAGCTTACCCAACTTGTCATTTCTTTTTTTAGGCATGTCACTTTTTTGTGAAAGGCAACCTCTAAAACAACCGTCGATTTACTATTTGCCCGTTAATGTTCCCCATTTCTTTTTTTTTTTTAATGAATTTTCTTATTCTGATTAGAACTGAGTGCCATAAATAAATAAGTTGGGGAAACATCTTTTATAGTAATGAATATTTTCATTTAGAAACATATGTTCACTTAAATAAAATCCTTTCTCTCTACATTCTGTATTGTAAGTGTGGGAGTTTTTTTTTTTTTTGATATCTGATTCAATATAACTGCTCCTAAAAATCTTTTATTTTTATGAAAAGTGCTAACAGAACTGGTTTCATATATTTTCCTTTTTTTGCAGAACCAGGGATTGAACTCAGGCCCTTGCGCTTGCCAGGGAAGCACTTATCCTCTGAGCCATCTCTCCGGCCCCTCAAATATTTTTCTCATAGATTTTTCTAAGTGAAACTAAGCACGGAGCTGGAAGAGGATGCCCAGAGGTCCTCAGTGCGACCCTCGTGTGGGTGGGAGGGAAGACCGCTCCTTCCCAAGAAGGGTCTTCATTAAGGGCAGGAGAGCTCGCAGAGGCATTCTCAGAAATTTTATAGTCCTCTTTATACTGTGCTTGAGCCATAATTTTATCTTTTATTCCTAATCATTTTATTTAAACATCTTTATTTATTTGGCTAGGATCTCGCTATGCAGCTTGGACTGGTAGTGATCCTCTTATGTGACCTCCCCAGAGCTGGGATTACAGGCGTGCGCCACCACGCCCGGTTTCAGTAGCTGGCTCTGCTTGGGGCGGTGTGACATGCGGTTCATCAGGGATCGAACCCAGGTCCTTACACTTGCCAGGTAGGCCCTTAGACCGCCAAGCTATCTCGTGAGCCCTAGTCCTAATCTTTTTGGCTGTTAACATTTGAGTGGAATCTTTATTCGATTTTCTCTAGTGATGATTGCTGCAAAAGCTGTCCATTTTTGAATGTCCAATGTTCTATAGGAATCCATTAATTTTGATAACGTGGTGGTTCCCTTTGAGGGTGTAGGACGATAATAAGCAAACAATCACAATCTTACTTCTATATGCGACTCATTTTATTTATGCTTCTTACTGCATTACGCTGGCTACAGCTCTCAGAAAAGTGCTCTACTTTAGTGGTGAAAACTAAGGACCTTGTCTTATTTCTCCATTTAATCGAAGTTCCTTTAGCATTTTTCCAGGGAATATAAAATTAGTTGTCAGTTTGAAGAGGGCTCATGTGTACGAGTAAGGGAGCATTTTTTAAAAACCTAGTCGCTAGGGTTTTTATTTTTTTTAAAGAATCAGGAAAGTTATGTGGAACGACCAACGTTTCGGTTTCATCGACCACATGCATTTTTAATTTATTAATTACATGAATATATTTCCTAATAGTGAACCACAGTGCAGTCCTTGAATTCAGATAATCCAATCTATAATCCAGCCTCCAAGTGAACTGGATTTATATTTACAGGTGGGTCTTCCTGGCTATATTTCCTCAAGGTAGTATCTGATTGCCTTCGGAGCGCATCCCGATGCTGGATGTAGCCGGATGCATCTTGGTAAAACAGGGAGCTGGGTTTGGAGTGTGAAATTCGCAGCTAATTCTACATGGGGTGAAACAGGGTCAGCCGCACAAAGCTGCCGTTTCTATGTACTTACCCATTTGGGTTTTTTTCTAGCTCATTTAAAAGTGTCTGATCACAGTATTCAAACACTAGGTGCATCTTCCTTTTTCTCCTGAACACCTCAATGAGGTTCACAAGGTTGGGATGTTTTAACTGCTGCAAAGAAATTGAAATGCAAAGGTCAATATCTATTACTAGATACATGTCTAGTAATAGTTTCTCTCCAGAGGCTTTTCCATTTGAAGAACACAAGGTCTTTCTTATCGTGTGTGGATTGCTTGTGGCAAAATTTATTACAATTTCTCACAAGAAAAACTGTTCTCCCTGGAAGACAGCTTAGTAGAATAAGTGCCCTGAGTTCAATCCCCAGTACTGGGGATCAAACTTGGGACCTTGCGTTTGCCAGGAAGGTGCTTATGCCACTGAGCTGTGTCCCTGCTCCCCCACTCTTAAATCTGATTAAAGTGCTTATTTTAGGATTTCCCACTCTTCTAACAATTTATCATATTTCTAGATCTGTTCTTTGATGCTGTTGCGCTGAAGGGTCTTCCATGTATTATGTGCTAAATTTTATTCTAAATCCAAAGCACATTATTTGGTTTAAAATAATGCAAACCAAAGGAAAAATGAGGGTGAAGTTACAGAAGCCACCAGTGGCATGACGTCACAGGTAGGAGCCAGGACTGTCCAACAGATGGCAGATGGCTATGCTGCCCCAGGCTGGAAGGACCACATAATTTAGAGTCCACACTAGAAGGGGATGTTAACCAGATGGACACCGAGACAGAAACTACACACCAACATTGTCCAGGGAAACCAAGACACACCATCTCTCCTATTTATTTTTGTATTATAGGGAAGGGTCTACAGAGTGTTCTGGGTCTCACTGTGCAGATCGGACTCTTAGTGATCCTCTTGTTTTCATCCTCCCAAGTGCTGGGATTGCAGGCACGCGCCACCCCGCCCAGGCTCAGCAGCCATCTCAGTGTGTCCTGGGGCGGGGCACGCATGGCAGGCCCGGGGATCGAACCCCCGGCTCCTGCTTGCAGGCGCTTTAACCCGCTGGGCTATTTGGCCACCCCTCAGCTCTCCTATTTAGAGCTGATTATTTGTGGTTACTTTTCCAGTACAGTACATAAACCAACTTTATAAACGCTGCATCATTTACCCGGAAAGATACATAAGGAGAGAACACACGGCATTCGGTAGGCTAAGTTTCTGTGTCCGCACTATCTGAAAGAGCAGAAGGCCAAGTGGTGGGGTCAGGTCAGAGGGTCACACCTGAACATTTGGAGGCCCAGGAGTGGGAAGGAGGAGAGGGAAAGCATTACCCTTATTACCCAGCAGCACTGCCTGGCCCAGGCTCACTGCGCGAATGTCAGCTCCTCTGCTGGGGCCGGAGCTGGGTGACTCACTGGCGCCCTCTGCTGGTTAGGAGGTAAGAATAAACTTTTTTTTCTTTTTCTTTTTTCTTTTTTTGCGGAACCGGAGATTGAACTCAGGCCCTTACGCTTGCCAAAGAAGCGCTTATTCAGCTGAGCCATCGCCCTGGTCCCAAGAATAAACTTTAAAAATAAAATAATGTGCTGACATGGGGGCCGGGGAGATGGCTCAGTGGAATAAGCGCTTCCCTGGCAAGTGCAAGGGAAGTTTAATTCCCGGTTCCACCAAAAAAAAAAAAAAAAAAAAAAGTGCTGACAACCGTAATAAACTATATCTTAAAACACTAAAAGATAATTACTTGGGAAAACTTGCTGAAAATCATATGTTAAAGAGATATTATTATTCCCCTTTGCAAACTGAATTTCTGGGGTTTTGTTAAAAAACAGAAGGTATGGGCATCCTATCCCGTCAGCAGCCTCTCCACTATTTGGAGGTTAGAAATGTAGATTCTTGGCCACATGTGGTGGCTCCCACCTGTGGTCCCAGTTGCTCAGCAGCCTGAGACAGGAGGATGGCAAGTTTGAACCCGACCAGCATGGACAACTTAGTGAGGCTCTTTCAAAAAATAAAACTAGTAAAAGGGCTGAGGATGTAGCTCAGTGGTACAGCACTTGTCTTGCATGAGTAAGGCTGTAGGTTCAATTCCCATTACCGGGGGAAAAAACAAAAGCAGATTTTTCAGGGCCCATCCCAGACTCCCACACTTGGTATTTCAACAAGGTCCCCAAGTAATTCCTCTGTACGTTAACTTTGTAACAATGAAGACATTTCATTTTTTTAAAAAAATTATTTATTTATTTTTTTTGCAGTACCGGGGATTGAACTCAGGACCCTGCGCTTGCCAGGCAAGCGCTTATTCTACTGAGCCATTTCCCTGGCCCAACGAAGACATTTTAGCTGGGGAGAAAAAAACCTTACATATCAAATTCTATCAAAGTAAAAAAAAGATAAACCTTTAGGTGAGAAACATAGATTTCAGGGCACGATATTCAGTGGGGTGAAGAAGCAGCGTGGCACAGGCAGACACTGAGTGATGTCAGGGCCCACAGTGGCACCGACACAGGCAGGCCTACGGCTGGACTCTTGTGGTTGCCGGCTTAGTGGGAAGGTGCGGGGGACGACGTCAGAGAGGGCAGCGAGGGGGCACGCCCTGGACTCAGAACAGCGGATGCTGCTGACCGGGACAGCGGCGCACCACTGTCATCTCCCGCTCTGCTCATACGTATCAGGTGGACCTCCAAGTGGCCCAAGCCCGGGTGACACTCAATTTATTTCCCAAAGTTGCTGACATATAGGAATTTAAGACCAATGGAAAAGAAATATGGCTTTAAAAGTTTTGGTATTTTTTTCTTTTCTGTATTTTAGGGAAGGGTCTACAGGGTGTTCAGGATCTCACTACTAGATTGGACTCTAGTGATCCGCCTGTTTACAGCCTCCCAAGAGCTGGGATCACAGGTGCGTGCGCCACCATGGGATAGAACCCCTGGCCCCTGAGCCTGCTTGCGGACGCTTTAATTCATTGAGCTATTTGGCCAGCCCTAGAAGTATTGGTACCTTTAGCTTCCACATTTCACCCAATATCTTGAAAGTATAAACAGGAATGGAGAGAAAGTTAACTTACCTTCAACATGCGTATTTCTCTTAGTGCTATCTTCTTAACAACAGGGTCATCTTCAGATTCCAGAAATTTTTTAATAGCTACTACTTGTCCAGAGGATTTGTTTCTGCATTTGAATACAACCCCGTAAGACCCTTCTCCAATTTTAGCTAGTTTTTCATACTTTTCCATTAGTGTCCAAGTGACTTAAATTATTGTAGCGATTGACTTGCAGTGTAATATTGAACCTGGAAAATAAGATTGACTTATTTTAATCAAGTTAGGAAGGATAATGTTCTCTTGGTTCATATAAAAACAATTTCCCAGGTTGCTGAAGGTTTACTGGCACTGATTAAATCTATTTAAAAATACTTGGATGCTATTTTGCTAATTGGTTTAGACCCATGTAGCTCTTCCAGCTATTGCAAAGACTAAATGTGTTTGTGTGTGTGTGTGTGTGTGTGTGTGTGTGTGTGTGTGTGTGTGTGTTTTCTCAACCAGGGATTGGACTCAGGCCCTTGCACTAGCCAGGGAAGCGCTTATTCCACTGAGCCATCTGCCCGGCCCCTAAATGTGTTGTTCTGACAATGGGTCAGTGTTCAGGTCAGTTACATTAAAAAAAATTGCAGGAAAAAACCTTATCCAATCTGTTGTTTTTGCTATCTTGAAATAAATGGCTAAACTATGGTGCACTACAATTTAGCTGAAGGAACATATCACGTAGTCTTACATACAGTGTTTAATTTTCTGTCCTCCCTCCAATACCACAATGACTAGGAAGAGTTGTGTGACAAGACATGTTATAAAGTGCTATACTGGGCCGGGGAGATAGCTCAGTGGCATAAACACTTGCCTGGCAAGTTCAAGGTCCCCAGTTTGATCCCCAGTACTGCAAAACAAACAAACAAACACCCAAAAAACCCAAAACCAAACAAACAAAAAAGTAAATAAAGTGCTATACTTCCACCTGGTGGAGAGATGGAGGAAGATGTGGGATGCTGAATAAGCCCCAAACCTTTAAGGCATTATTTATTGCTTTAAAATTTTCTTTCTATAGTAGAGTAATTCTTAGTCTCCAAAGAAAATGATAATACACAGAAGGGAGGTAGAGTTCTCTCTACCTTTCAACTCTTCCTGAGCACTTTCACATCCATTGTGATTTCAAAGGAAATGTGGGGCTTAATATTTTTTTTTATCTTGCACCACCTGATTATTTTTAAAACTAAATAAAGCATTGGGGCTGGTGAGATGGCTCAGTGGTCTAAAGCACCTACTTAGAACAAGCTTAGCAAAGCACAGGGACCGCGGTTCAATCCCCCAGCACCACATGCCAGCCAGCCCCGCCCCCGGTGGGCTGAGCTGGCCCCCCCAATGAATAAAAAAAATTAAAAAAAAACTAAATAAAGCATTAAGTTATGATAAAACCAATATGATTAAACAAGTCTAGGAATGAAAATGTAAAAAACTTAACTAGTTTCCAAAATCCCCACTTTTCCTAGCAGAATACTGTGACTATAGTAATTATAATAGCTTTCACTCAAATACTATTGTTCTGTTTACATATAATATGGAAAGATACTGTGTCGTAGGCGTTACTTTTAAATTTTATTTATTTTTAGTGGGTGTTATATTTATCGAGATGAGAAAGCTGAAGTGTAGGAGAGAATGAGAAGGTGAGCTATCAGATTCCAAAGACCATAACTTTGGTTGCTACCCTCTACTGCTTCTTAGCTAATTCTCAAGAATGAACAACAGGGAAATTATTGTCAATGTGTAAATGATTCTCAACATACTAGCAATATAGATTTTATAATGTTTTGTTGTTTTTAAAGTGGATTATAGTTCTTATGAAAGGAAGAAAAATTATACACATAAGTAACATAAGAAAATCTATCACCAATTAAATTCTGAAAATGCTGTTAATTATATTGTATTTTTTTTTAATTTTTTTTAAATTTTATTTGGTTATTGTGTGTGTGTGTGTGTGTGTGTGTGTGTGTGGCCAGCTCAGCCCACCAGGGGGCGAGGCTGGCTGGCATGTGGTGCTGGGGGATTGGCAGTCCCTGTGTTTTGCTTTGCTAAGCTTGTTCTAAGTAGGTGCTTTAGACCACTGAGCCATCTCACCAGCCCCTATACTGTATTTTTAACCTAAGAATTATTATTTTTAAAGGTATTTAAAGATAAGCATGCATACCTTTGCCTTTCTTTACCCTAGTATTCTTTTTTTTCTTCTTCTTGTTTTCTCATTTATGTATTTGGTATAGGGTCTTACTACACAGCTCGGACTCGTAGTGATCCTCCTGTTTTCAGCCTTCCCAGTGCTGGGATTACAGGCGTGAGCCACCATGCCTGGACTTGATGGCTCACTCAACATGCCTGGGGTGGGGCCAGCGTGGCACATGGGACCGGAGATCGAATCCTGGTCCCTGAGCTTGCCAAAGTAGTCTTTAGAAGAATAGAAAACTAGAAATTTGCATCAGACAGTGATTGGAACAGGACTTTATAGACTTGGGGTTTAGCCTATTTGATAAGCACTGTGGTTACTGGGGAAACTATGAATGTGACACAAAATATAATTATGAAATTTTAATCTGTATTTTTCCTTATTACCCTATCAGTAGCTATTTGATCTACTGATTTATTTACTGATATTTTCCCCAACAGATTTGACAAGGAGTGATTCTTCAGATTCACTGGATCTCTCAGTGAAGCAAACTACTGAATACAATAAAGTTGTAGCAACAGTACTTTGCCAGGCAATCTTGAAATATTATCTACTTTCTTATGTGTTCAGGCAAGAAGAAGTTGACATGTAAGAAAGAGTTAAGCCAAGCCAGGTGCTCCACAAAGTTCTTGTCTCTCTAGTTCCACCTCACTAGGGTCCCCCAGGGTTTCTAGAAGCAGCGATTCCAAATTTCTTACCTAAAATTCAGAACAACTATCCAATTGCTTGATAAACGTCTCTGTAGAAGTGGCCAGATTCACCTCAAAATTGGCAGATTCTAAGCCAAACGCTTTCCCTTCTGTCTGATCTCTTACACAAAGTTCACAAACGTATTCTACACTGTACCTAGATGACTCGGCAAGAGGGGAACATGAAGTTGACCAAGGAGAGTGGCTACGGCTTAAACCTAATTTCCTCATATATCTCCTATGAAGCTATACAGATGAGCCAGAACAAGTAAAACCACATAAATCCAGTGCTGTCAACATAACAAAAAGACAGTGGCCTTTATACACTTAACAGGAAAAGGAAAGCCCATGCTCTGGAAGAGATGCCACTGTTAGTCTCTGCAGAGCCAAGGTAGGAGTCGGGGGAGAGCGGGGCCAACTGTTAGGAGGAGTGAGGGGGAAAGGACTCACCCAAGGGGAGAAAAATTCCTGAGCAACACACGTGCCGCAGGCAGCAGCCATCAGGGTGGTGCCGTTCTTGGGGAAGAGAAGGATAAGAAGGAAGGTGGGGGTGCCCATTGGAGACTGGGGAGGAAGGGAGAAAAGAGGCAAGTCCGGGGTCTCCCAAGACAAAGCCCTCAAAATAGGAGAACATGCAAATTCTTCTCTCATGATTAAGACATTATCCAACATGTTCAGTCTTTAGGTTTTTCAAATGACTCACATGAGGGAAGAGACTGCAGATGAACAACACCTTAGAGACCCGTGGAACCAAAGGGAAGCGCCAACACACTCATCAGCTTCCCAGAAAGAAGAGTGAGAAAAACGTACAAGTCTTAGGAAATAACTGCTGAAGGATTTCATGGCAAGAAGAACAGGCATGTGTGACTCATCCTCAAATGATTCAGAATGATCACCATGTACCTAAGCATATACGTACACATATGCACACACATATACACATAGTATGGTTGAGAGATGTGACAAAACAGGTGGAGTGAAATGTAAACAATTAATGAGCCTAGACACGTGGGAATTTTTATACATTCAAAATTATGTCAGAATAAAGCTACTGTAAAGTGTCTCGTTTAACTTTTATATCTACATCCATCACCCTAAGCACATCTTTATCAACATTACATAATATGATCAGATACCATCATTCCTCAAAAACGTCCCATGCTCTCTAAGGTCACAGAATCGAATACAAGCTGTGGCATGCTCCTTTCAGCCCTTTGCGCCATGGCCCCGGGTTCAGCACTGTCTCAGATTTTTCCTGCTTTCTAGTCTCTAAGCTCTCTTTATACCACGACCTGGAATGTGTGACTCTGAAGTCCTCCCCGTCTTTCACTGTTTGATTCAGAACAGTCCTCGGAAGCGGGCTCTTTGCACCACTGTTATGCTAGCAACTTTGCCCTACCCCTTTAAAAAAATGATTTATTACCCAGGACTTGGATTGCTAGCTCATTAGCAGGCTTCTCTTGTGCTCCTACTGTACTTTTATTTCTAACCCTCTCCACTAGACACATAAATGCCTCTTATTTATTTACCATTGGGGATCAAGCAAGGCGACTGTTCTAACACTGAGCCACATCCCAGCCCTAAAATGACTTTCTTTTTTAAGCAAAGGCAATAAATACATTCCAAAAATTAAGCCAGTGCTTGGGCAGGAAATCAAGATTAAATAGTGAGGTAGCTATTGGCTGGGAATAGATGCCAGTGGCAGAAAATATTTCTCAGTTATCAGTGACCTTCAAACTGAAGTTACATATAGATCTTTTGGCTCCAGGACATCTTGAATCTAGAGAATATTGTACGATCCTGTATAAAGTACATGCAATTTGTAGGAAAGGCAAACATGTCACGGGGGACACAATAGCTCCTTTGTATATCTTTGATAAAAATGCAAAGTTTGAATGTAATTATGAGGAGGAGACTGACACAGATGAATTGAGTATCAGGTTCACGAAGCTCCATATACAAATGCAAAGACAGGTGTAGCCTTGAACCCATCAGTGATTGTAAGACAGGTAGATGGCTAGAAACTTACAGCTCACAACTCTTGTTGCATAGGTCCTGCTTTACCTTGGTCTTAACCATCCAGTAGAAAAGTATGAAGACGAAATATAAGAAATAAAGCCATGCTGTTAAGTTAAGCTGTGGGGGACTCAGGTCAATAATTTCTGACATTGCCAGTTAAACAGAAGACC